CAGGTGAATATACAGCTCCGGTAATCCCTTTCATCTCCCGGTCGGCGCACATAATCACAGTAATCGCCGTAATCTCTCGACGAACAGAATCTTTTGGTCCCGATTTGGCCTTAAGTTATAAATAGTTGTTTGAAAAATACATTTTAACATTCATTCATAACACAAACCCTCGAAATACTATTTATATCAAACTTTTAGTTATAATTTTCTTTCATATATTTTTTAGTTTTCATAAATATTTTAAGTTTATATAAAGAGATAATGTATAAGAATTTCAAGTATTTATCAAAACAAAACTATTTATTACATTTATTATTTACTAATTAAAATACAAAATGATCAAGAAATATAGAAATGTGAATGATCATTTTAGTAAAGTTGGTTACCTTCAAACATTCCCGTAGATTTGATACAATAGCTGTTCTGAAAGACGTGATCGCAGGCCTGGGGCCGCAGTTTGGTGTTTATCTCATCAAACTTTTCACTGCATTCAATATCTGTATTACTCTCGCATTGATAGCAATGAATCGCCGAAACTATTAATAAATTAAATAATAATTTAATATTAAATTAACTCATTATCCATTGAACCCATTATCCATACCCGTCACCACTGATTCCGCCAATATATACACCGCCGCCAAGAGATTCAATATATTGTTTGTTTTCATTATAAATTTAAGGCTTAATATTACTTTATTGAAACAATTAAATGCTAATTACAATTGAGATTCAATTAAATTCATGTCATATTGACATTGTTTGGCAGTTATGGATAATATGACTGTTATTTTGTTGGGTGTGTTCACATGTGCTGCACAGAAGCACAGGTATTAGATATTTACCTGAATAACCAGACAGGTATGTCGAGCCCATGTGTGACATAAGCTTATGAATATAATATTACTGTACAGAACATGCAGTGTTCGTGAAGAGCCAATTCAACCAACCCTTTGTTTTGTATGGAGTATTAGGGCTACACTGTCACAGTTTTATATCTATAATATTGAAGTTGTTTTGCAATTTCACTGTATTTCTTACGGAATTGATTTAAATTCTAGTCAAACTGCAAATGAAATACAAAATATAAATGGAGGAAATTTTATTGCAATTATTGCCCAGTAATTCAATATTGCATACATTTTAATGGCTAAATTTTAAAAGAATATTAAACATTAAGTTCATATTTCATTTAAATAACAGTGATACTGTATTAAACTTTATATCACTGTTGAGATAGTGATCGATCTGTAATTTTTAAACTTTTGTTTTATCAACATTTGTTAATAGTTTTAACAAGTTTGTTTTATTAACTAGAAATAGAGTACAACTTTTTCAACTTTGCCTAAACTCTATGCATTCTTATCACTATTCATATCGTTAACGAATTTTCTATAGAATATATTATTAGAGTTAAGTAATTAAAAACATTGTATTTTTAACAATGAAAAGTCATTCATTGTTTTCAAAGCATTTTAAAAATAAATTCTATATAATTAATGCAGAACTCTATAGAGTCTTAACA